CTCGATCCCAGGACCCTGGGATCATGACCTGAGCCGAAGGCAGACGCTTAACGACTGAGCCACCCAGGCGCCCCAAGGTACAGACCATTTAAAAAGTACCAGCAAGCAAAGCCTTGGGGCTCCTCGCTTTCCCATCCAAAAGTACGTTCGAGATTAGTGTCAAAGGAAGGACTTGACCCAAAAGGAGAGCTTCTGGAGCTTCTGTGCACAGGGCATCACCTGGGACCCCGGGAACATGCACATCCTGATGAAGCAGGTCCAGCTGGGGCCTAAGACTCTGCATTTCTGACAAGCCCCCTGGTGACACCCAGCCACTCTGCGGGCCACACCGCATGGCAGCAACATCCTCGAGAATACACATTTTCCAGCTGCAACAGCTGCAATGCACTTCTTTCCTAAGACGTTAAGGAACCAAAAAAATGGCATCTTCTAGTGAGAAGTAAATGTCTCTGCTACATCTATCCTTTTTTTTTTTCTTCCCTAAAGATTTTATTTATTTAGAGAAAGTGCACTCGCAAGCAGGGGAGGGGCACAGGGAGAGGGAGAGAGAATCTCAAGCTGACTCCCCGCTGAGCGTGGACCCTGACGTGGGGCTCCATCCCACGACCCTGAGATCACGACCTGAGCCGAAATCAAGAGTTGGAGGCTCAACCAACTGAGCACCCAGGCGCCCCTAAGTCTATTCTCAAACGAATGCGGTAAGAAGCTCCAGAGCCTCAAAGTGCTTTAAGAAAACAACACAAAAACAAAAACGTAAATTACGAATCTTCTGGGCGCTCAGGTTGTGCTAACAGCTCAGAAAGTGGAAACAGTTAAACAAAAAACGCAAGCACAGACTAGCTTGCTGGGATGGCCCTTTCAGGAGGAAGTTCACTTGCTTCCTTTATTCAACCATCATACCTTAGAACACAGGCTTATGTCTGAAAAATGAGCCACTTAGGGGTTTGAGACACAGGCTAAGGTCAGCTGACTGTTGAGCCAGCCGAAGAGGCTGTGGAGGTGGCACCCCATTCTCAAGCTTGGACTCTCGTTACTGCCCAGACTTCTCTGCGGACAGCAAGCCCTAAAATCCCCCAATGAAAGGTGGATCGCTAATGGAAGAAAAGCCTTTCCTTTGACAGAGCATCTCTTTTGCTTTTCAAAATGAGAACAAAGCCAGAGCCTCAATGGGACACGAGGAACACTTGGTCAAGAAGATGCGGGCAGTGCGGGTTGCCGGGTGGAGCCCAGTGCACCGGAGGAGGGCTCCATGTGGGTGCGCTCCCTGCACTCGGGGCCCCCGGGAGGGTTTTCAGCCACATGTACCCACCGAGTACTTGCTGCAAATATTCCGCTCTGCAGTGCAGTCCACCTCCGCGATCTTGACCTCTGCCAAACCAGGGAATTCTTTTCTGGAGAGTTCCTCCCACGTCGGAGCCAGATTCTTACAATGACCACACCTGGAAAGAGAACAACGACCGCGCTGTGGAAGTCCTGGGTCTCGCTCCCTCACCTACAGTCTGCTGCCCAGCCCAGCCCGGCGTCTTCTGTATGGCCTAGAAATTTAAAAAACATCAAATTCTCCCGCTGGGCGCCCTAACCTTTCCTCCTCCTCCGTCCCAGACAAGGGAGTCAAAGTCAATCCCAAGTAGACTTGTGGATAGCCTAGTGGAAGCAAGCTGGTCTGGAAGCAAGTTTAGATTCCAAGACCCTTTCCAGGATGGGGTGACCGGAGCTAACTGGCCTATGAATGAATCCAATGCACCACGAGCACGAGGTGATGGACAGGAAGCAAAACCAACTCCACACATTTTTTTAAAAATGCTTCATTTTAGATTTGATCACTGTGGTCTCGAAGTTTCAGGACAGCGTTAAAGCTTCCCTGAGCACCTGCCCTCCTAACCATTATTTGATCTATATAGCTTCAGGGTTTTGTTTTTTTTTTTAAATAGAAAATAACAGATTTAAAGGCATCATTGACTAGTGTTCCTATTTTTTTTTTTTAAGATTTATTTATTTTAGAGAGCGAGCAAGCAGGGGGAGGGGCAGAGGGAGAGAGTGAGCCTGAGATGGGGCTCGATCTCACGACCCTGAGATCATGACCTGAGTAGAAAGCGAGAGTCAGACGCTTAACCGACTGCGCCACCCAGGTGCCCTGTGTGTCCAGTCTTTAAGGATAAACGCTGCACAGTGCATGGGGGTCATGTGCTCCCTGACTTCTCTCTGCCGCCGCGGTTTCTCCTGAACACCCAGAATGGCACCAACTGAAGAAGAGCCTACTTATGCCTCTTTAGAAACAGAATCTCACACTCTCCTTGAGACTCTGCTTTTTTTTTTTAGATTTTTTATTTATTTATTTGACAAAGAGATAGCGAGAGCAGGAACACAAGCAGGGGG